AAAGGCCAGACCTGAATTAAAAATGGTAGGGGATGCAAAATACAGGGGGTGGGGGTGGGCAGCAGAATAGCTGAAGGGAAGTCCTCATGACTGTGACACCCCCCACCCCACCCTCCAAACTGCCCGGGAGAGAAGGCCATGCTCCCAAGGGCTCCCTGCAGGGAACGTCCCATGCGGATGTGTTCCGAAGGGCAGCCACCCGGGCCCCATTACTTCTGCCGGTGGTCCATGCCGTCCTCCTTCTATGGCTTCCTGGTCAAGGGTGGCTTTGCCTGCAGGAGCTCCAGAGGATAAAAGGGGCAAGGGGAGAGGCTGATCACTCAGAGGGGCAAAAAGGTTGCAGCCATGAAGCTTCTCCTTGGCAGCCTTCTCTTGGCTGGGGTCTGCTGGCTGGGAGCCGCACAGCAATTACAGGCCATGGCGAACTTCGAGAGCCAAAGGGTCAGAGCTGGGAATCCTGGAAGGGAATTCTTCTCCCCCCCCCAACTCTAAGTGGAAGGGGACCCCGGGGGGGGGGGGGGCTGTACTGCTCTCTGGGCTAGCTGGCAGACATTTCACGACCCAACTAGGGAACCTCATCATCAGTCCTGCAAGGGTTGGTTGGCTCCCATTACGAATGGTATAGAGGAGACAATGGAGTTCTGGGCTCAGAGAGGAGAAGCCTCCACGGCTGTCTCTCTTCTGGGCTCCGGCGAGGCGTCTTCCTTCCGCACTGCCAGATTTTCACTTCATTTCCTTGGTGCCTCTCCGGGATTCAGAAGCCTCCTGCGGTGGACAGCAAGAAGCCCTCCCTGCCAGGCACAGGCGCTTCCCCCTTGTTGGCTCCTGGACGGCTGGCATGGAGCTTCCCCAGGCCTGGCAGGAAGGGCTTGGACTTTGGAGGCCCCTCGGCGCTAACAAACTGCCGCTTTCTCCTTCCAGATTGTCGGGCGTTGGTACCCCGTGGCAAACATCTTTATTGAAAAACAGTTCCCCGCATACACGCTCAGTGCCAGCGGGAATGGAGGCCTCCTCTACTCCTTTAAGTACCTCCAGTAAGTCTTGGAGGCTCCTGCCCTACAGGGCAGGAGGGGGGAAAGCCCGGAGGGAAAGGGGGGCGGATGGGAACCTTTCCACGCGTGGGACTCCCATATCCATCCTCAGACCCTGTCGCCGCAATGCCCGGGCTCCAGTTAACAGCGCACCGTGCTGCAAGCCTTCAGCCGGAAGCTGGCTCACTTGCCCCCACTCCACCCGCCCCCCAAAAGTGTGTACTGTGCTGTTTCTTTCCAGACAGGGGCAATGCAAGGAGGCGAGCTTCCAGTTCACTGACCAAGGGAGTCCGGGGACATTCAAGACCAACTGTAAGTGGCGAGGATCCCTCCCCTCCCTCCACCCCCCACGCTCCACAAGAGGCTTCAGTCCCCCCTCCTTGGAGGATCGGGCCTGAGCCCCCCACCTCCCAGGAGAGGATGGGGGCTCCTGCAGGAGGAGCGGGTGGCGCTCGCGGGACTCCTGCCCCCAGGGGTTTTTTTTAACAGCCTGTCTTTTGTGCGGAAGGCGTTACCGTCATGCAGATCCTGGACACGGACTACGAAACCTACATAATCACTTACGTCGTAAAGGGATCAAGCGCCTTTCTGGCGCTTGCAGGTATGAGGGCTGGAGGGGGAGGGCGGGAGAGACCCTTGCCTCCCCCTTCCTAAGGATGCTGTCAACACAGCAGGGGCCCTTCCTTGGTTTCTTGCCCCCAATGGGCCGCCTCCACCGCCACCTTTGGAGCACCTCCTGGGGAGGCACGTCCACTCCCGCTCCAGCCCCCTCCCCCAGCATCTCTGCCCTAAGGGAAGCTTCTGGATCTCCCCCCTCCGATTCTCTCCATCCTCCCCAGCAGTTTAACCAGCCCCTCCCCAAACCCCAGGTTTCCTGCCCCCCCCCCAACTCCCTCAATGTTCCTGCTTGTCTCTAGCCAAAGAGAAAACCTTGTCGGAGGCTCTAAGGATGAAATTTGCCAATTTCGCCGCCTCTGTAGGCATCTCAGGAGCGATTGTGCCCATGATCCCACTAGGTAATGCTTCAGTCCTTGGCATCTCCACTTCTGGGCTTCCCAGGGTATCAGAAAAGGACGTCTCCTCCCTCCCTGCCTCCCTTCTGCCCTTCCTCCGATGACCAATTATTCTCTCTCCTCTCCTCTGCAGAAGAGTGCTAAGGAGTCCAGAGTCCAGGGGCACGGAGGGGTCCTTGCCAGCCAACCCACACCTTGCTTGGGGAAGCAGGAAGACCCCATCTCTGTTAAAGAGTCCCCTGCGGGTGGCTGCCTTCCTGCCAGCCAGAGGGCAGACGGCAAGCCTTCTTTGTCAAATGAATCATTAATAAAACCCAGCAAACGAAACATCCGGTGTGCTTTTCCTTATTCCTCTCCTGAAGAGGGTTCCCCGCCCCCAATCCCCGCTCTGCCGTCATCTTGCCTCCCCCGGGGTCGAGTAATCCTCCCTCCCTCCCTGGCCTGGCACTGGAAGGGGAAAAATCCGAACGGACTGATTGAGAAGTGGTCACATTGCCTGGAATGAGCGAAATAACCATAATTGTAACAGCTGCGCAGAAAGAAACGCACAGATACAGAAATACCTGGCATGGCATCTCCCTGGTTTCCCTCTCATTACTTTCCCCAGGGTTTCCCTCCGACACTCTGCCCCATTAAGAGAAGGCCCAGGGGCCTTCCCGGCCCTCTTCCCAGGGGTGTGGGAATTTCCACAGCTGGAGTGCCAGGAAGAAAGGGGTGCCCTTCTCCCCTTGTGCCAGTCCTAGTGCTCTTCATTCACAGCACATCCCTCCTCTCCTTACAATAAGGGGGGGGCTTCATTTGGAAGGGGTCTCATTCAGGATCCAGTTCGCTCCCCCTGTCAACAGACCCACCTTTTGTTGTCATATAACTCCTTGTGTAGGTGTGGCGGTCACCCATGGCCCA